AATATTACATATAACATAGAAAAGCATATTCTTTAACATTATAAATAAAAATAGTATAATACCAAAAATAACTAAGAATAGAGTTTAGTAATTCTCTAGATATCAATATATTTAAAAGAATACAAAATTTATTTAAATTATTAATCATCATTTTATTTCAATTACTCACGTTAATACTTTCATTCTTTATTCATTGTTATTCTTAAATTTTCTTTCTATTCTATTTTTTGATAAGTAATTTATTGGAATTATTTTATTTTACTCTAATTCTCTTTCTTTTATTACTTCTTTATTCTTTATTAATAAATAATACAATCGTTATTTCTTTTTAAATTCTTTATAAATTTATTGTATTTTCTATTTGATTACTATTTATATATAGATATATATCATCTATAATAAAATTATACTTAAAAATGAAAGAATTTAAATATTTATTTAGTTGAAGTAATAAATCATTAAATAAATCCAACTGAATAACAAAAAATTCCACTGTATATATATAAACATATTTAATAAATGAAAAAAGATAATTTCATGAATTAACTCTTAACTGAAATAAAATTGAAGAAATTAATGATTTTTATTTTAAATTGTTATATATAACATTAAAAAATTATTTTAAAAGTAAACACAATAACAAATTTTATAACAACAAAACAAAAAAAGACAAATAAAAAAGGGATTAAAAAAAATTAAAAAGATGTATGAAGAACTAGTAATTTCAAAGAAAAATGTCAAATCCATTTATTACAACTCAAGACACAAATGAAAGTGGATTTGTTGTAAGTGATAACTCATTTGCACAATCTGGAGATATAGACTTTTCTGCAAGACAAAATGAACAAGTTAATTTTGCTACACAAACAACAAATTCACAAACAAACCCATCAGGAGCTGGTGATGAAGAAAAACCAAATACTTCAAATGAAGAAGAAGAAATAAAAGAATATAAATGGTATCATTTTTATAAATCAGAATTCTATGCAAGATGGTTCAATGTTGATACTACAGATGTATTAAAAAGAATGTTGTGGGGATTAATTCCATTTTTTGGTAATTTCTTTAAACAAACTGAAGAAAATCCTGATTTATATGGACCATTATGGATTCCATTAACTGTTGTTTTCTTAGCCTTTTTCAGTGGTTCATTAAGTTCAATTATTGAAAATGCATATGATTATAAAAAACTTTCTATTATTAGT